TAGGACGATCCAATACAGTAATATTTCATTCAGTATAGTTCCTGTCAAAGATACAAAACTTTTTAGGAAGATCCAATACAATAATATTTACATTACAGCATAGTTTCTGTCGAAGATACAAAACTTTTAGGAAGATCCAATACAATAATATTTCATTCAGCATAGTTTCTGTCAAAGATACAAAACTTTTAGGAAGATCCAATACAATAATATTTCATTCAGCATAGTTTCTGTTGAAGATACAAAACTTTTATGAAGATCCAATACAATAATATTTCATTCAATATAGTTCCTGTCAAAGATACAAAACTTCTAGGAAGATTGAATACAATAATATTTCATTCAGTATAGTTTATGTCAAAGATGCAACACTTCTAGGTACAAAAATTGAGGTATGTTACTTGATATACTTAAATTTAATTGATGTTTTCTATAACTATTGTTATAAAAGTTCTGTTTCAGGATTAAGTCCAGTCAAAAGAATAATGTTGGCTAAGAAGGTATCATTTAATTGTTTAAGTTTGAGAAGTCAAACTAGAAGAAATAATTTCTAACATATTAATGTTTTATAAGTTTTAGAATATAAATATTTACAAGTAATCATTCTTAAGATATTAAGTTTTAAACTTCAAATGTACAACTATGCAGAAGAAATAACTTTTAATATAATATAGTTTATAAGTCTTAGAAGAATTTTTGAACATATTACTATATTTTTAGGTCTCAGAGGTTCGTTTATTTGGAGAAACTGAGATTATGCAGGATTTGAAGATTGCTATTTGTCAGTGGCCTACTGATGACACAAAAATTTTAGTTTATGGTTGTTGGTAAGTTAAATTATGAAGGCAAGAAAATCATAAGATAAAAAATATTTTTTTCATTAAGATATAAAGCATGTGATTGCTAATAATATAATCATGGATATAGTTTAGACTACTCTTAATGAAAAGTGACATATTAAACTTATTTTAACTCTCCAAATAGAGGTAATTCATTCTGATTGACCTTGTAACCACCATATAACCATGAAACTATACATAATACAATTTAATTGTAGTAAGTGTATATTCACAAAATTTGGCAAGCTTTGAATAAACGTTACAAGTCTGTTGTACACAGAAAATCAAATGTTTTTCATAAATTATTTTTACTAAAGATTTGTCTCTGAACTTATAATATCTTTACTGTGTTTGTCTGAGGGCCAGGTAATTTTTGTGTTAATAATTTTTATATTTCTTTTCATTTTACAGTTTTCACTTTTTATTTGTATAACCTCTAGAACCTCTTAAATGAAAATCAAAAATTATTTTCAGTAAAACTGAATTTTATTTATTTTCTCTACCCAAATACTAACTGTAGTGAAATCTGTCATGTATGGTAAAGTAAAAGTTAAAAAATATGAAATAAATCTAAATTACCATTTTTCCTTTCTGCGGTGATTGCATGTTTTAACATACGATAGCACACTACTTAAAACTAATAGACATTCCAGATCTGGTTTCATTTCCTTTTATTGTTTTACAGCTGTTCTTAGACTAACTTAGAACATGCATTCACTTGGCATCAGGTGTTAACTAATCCTACATTTCAAACCTATGTTAGAAAGGTTTTAATTCGCTCGTCATTAGGACCTAATGGGGTTATCTAAACCTGTATATCAAACCTATGTTAGAGAGGTTTTAATTCACTTGTCATTGGGACCTAATAATGTTAACTAATCCTATATATCAAACCTGTCTTAGAGAAGTTTTAATTTGCTTGTGATATAGTTCTAGCTTTTTGTCATTCTAGTTCCTACTTCCTTTAAAAATTGGGTTTCAAGGTGGCTGTTCATTATGGGAACATATGTATGTCTGGTCTGTCTTAATCTCCACAGATAAGAATAACAATAGTTTATTTGGATTCTCTATTACTATAAAAAACTGTATAATATCCTTTAATATGTTCTTATTGTAACATCTGTCAAAGTGTCAGTGTTATAGGGGCTGAATTCTGTGACTTGTTGGCAATAAATTTCAACAATAAATGGACAACACATAGTCCCCTTGTTTTGAAATAATGTATTCAAAACAAGTCAAACGTATGTACAAAAAAAGTTTGTTACACTATTGGTTATCACAGTTCTATTCAGAGCTTTAAATAATTGTCTACCTTTAATCAGAGTCCACACAGGCAGATTCAGTTACTTTAGAAGACCCTTTGACATGAAAAAATATTCTCCTGTATCTCTGTTATTACAATACAAGCTGTGTAACTCGCTTTAGAAATCGCCCGTCATGGCTAGACTGATACACAGTCTAACTTTGCTTTACTTTCAATGAGTTACTTACTTAAATTGGTCACCTATATATATAGGCTGAACTGAGGCCTAGAACATTTTAAAAACTACAATATGTTATAATGTAACAATACTCAATGAAACAACGAGAAAAACTTAGAAGGTTCAAGTAATGTGATGTCAATTCACAATAATTGAACTACACAACAAATAATTTGTAAACAGTTATATAATTAAACTTGCTATAACTGTTGCTTTTAAAATAATTAACTTTTAACACACTTGTCATGAAAACTAAATAATAACTCTTAAACTGAACAGTCTTGCATACCCAACAATAAGCTCCTCTTCAAGAAAAATATTTACAATATTTTTTTCTCTATATATATAAAGACTGTTTTTAGTTCATACACAAAGTCTCCTCATATAGCTAGCACCAACATTTGCAGTTCTCTTGTTGGTCTTTCATCAGATAGGGCATCTGGTAGGGCTTCACCTTGACTGGATCCATGGTCGGGGTCTCAATCTTGTGTTGTGCAAGGTCTGTCTTGTCTGGTCTATCTGTGAAGACATCTGTGCATTAGCACAGTCACTCCTGTAGGTCCTTCTTATGCTTGTCAGTCTGTTCTTTACTTATGTTGATGTCCTCATACGTCTCATCTCCACCCAGTGGTCTTAGGTCTAGTAGGTCTTCATTCTCTATGACGGTCACTTTCTCCTGATTCTGTGTCTATGACAGCTACACCTGCCATGTCCATCTGTGACTCAATAGCTGCACCCATTAGATCTTCTTCCCTCTTGAAGTTCCTCTTCAACAGATTAGCATGGTAGATCTTGGTCTTCTTGTCCACTTTCACTTTATAGTCCATTCTATTGACTACTTCTTGTCGATCAAAAGGTCTTTTCCACTGCAGGGTGAGTTTGTTGTTGTCTGTAGGTAGCAGAATCAAGACCTTCTGTCTAACCTTGAAACGTCGATCCATGGCCTTCTTGTCATAGAAGTGCTTCTGACTGCCTTTGATGTGCTGGGCTTTCCCTGGAGAACTGCTTTTATATATTTGGTACAGAGCTCCTTTCTGATCCTCTATTTTGTAAGTCTCCTTTCCTCTCTATCTTATGCTCAACTTTCTCTTGGGCACTGTCCCAAAGTTTCTTCAGTGAAGGGCCTTTCTTCTGTCCTTCTTTCAGTTCTTGTAGACCTACAATCAGGATGTCACCATTTGATACTTGCAGGAGCTTGATGTTTTGCATGCTTTTCTTTTCTTGAGCTCTTGTGGTGACTACAGATGCCTCATCAGTCTCCTTTCTCTCTGGTTCCTCCAAACTTCTACTGCTTGTTATATTGCCAACCTCCAAGGTGTAGATGGGTGCCTTCATGCACGTGGCCTCAAGATCTCCCATGTAATATAGTGTCCACCTTTATTCTTGTTATGGGAAACATTGTGACTTTCACTTTCTTGTTCCCAACATAGCCTTCACCTACTGGCATTTTATTATTTGTTGGCACCTCTTGACATATGTCACTTGCTCCAATCACCAATGGCACTGTTGACCTGTTTGCTAACTTGAGCTGACTCTCATTCGTGCACTGTTTATTCTTGGAAATAGCACTTCCTTCTTGTGAATCTGATGAGTTGTCTCTATTCTGTTTCTTCTGGCAGAATGGCTAGGTGGTTAGGGTGCTTGACTTGCAATCTGAAGGTTGTGGGTTCAAAACCCCACCCTTTCAGCCGTGGGGGCATTATTATGTGATGGTCAATCCCATTATTCATTGGTAAAAGAGTAGCCCAAGAGTTGGAGGTAGGTGGTGATGGCTAGCAGCCTTCCCTCTGGTCTTTCACTGCTAAATTAGGGATGGCTAGCACAGATAGCCCTTGTGTAGATTTGTGTGAAATTCAAAACAATCCACTCCAATTATTCTGGCAGCAGCATCCATGGTGATAGTCACTCTTTTCTTGTTTCTTGCCAGCACCATCTTCGTAGGTAGCTCCAGCTGCCTTATGTTGAAATTTCTGCTGCTGCTTGTTGGTGACAGACTTTTGTCTGTTAACCTTCTGACACCTTTGGTTGACTCCTGCTTCTGGCACCCACCACTGGTTTCGACCTTAATTGGTTATTCTTAGTCTTGTCAGTTATAGTCCCTCCGTGGTCTTCCATATACTGCTCTGCCAGCTTAATTATCTCATCCGCGTCTTTTGGTGCTCTCTCCTTTAGGAACAATGACGTGTCAGTGGGCACATGATCATGAATTTTTCACATATTAGTAGATCTGCCAGTCCCTCAAAACCGTTTTCACATTTAGCCATGTCAGTCCACATTGTGAAGTATCACTGTAGATGTGCCACAAACTGAAATACAGTTTCTCCAGTGTCAGGTTTGACTTCTCTAAACTTTCAGCAAAAACCTTCCATGGTAAGTTCAAAATATTTCAGCAAAGCCACTTTTAATTTTTCATAGTCCATGATATCTTTTGACCTCATGCCTGCATACACTTGTAGACCTTTTCCTGTGAGAATTGGGCTGAAACATACTGCCCAGTCACTTTTATCCCAGTTCTGACTTTTGGTGAATCTTTCATATCTGTCCAGGGAAGCATCCATGACATCTTTATGTTTATGAAATTTAGGCAGCTTGGGTGGGCTAGTCCTGACCCCATTGTCATTCTTGGGTCTTTCATCTTTCTGTTGGGTGAACTTGGAGATCTCAAATTGTACTCTTATTCTTTCTGTTTCCAGTCTTTATTCTTCTTTCTCAATTTGTGCTTTTATACCTTATGTCTCTATTTCCTTTTCATCTTTCTCAGTTTGTACACTTATTCTCTCTCTGTCTATTTCCAGTATCTTCTTTTCCTTCAGTCTTTCTTCCTCTCTTCTCTGTATCTTCTCCTCTCTCTAGTTCTTGTTGTTTTTCTTTAACAAACTGTAGTGGATCATTATCTTTTAGTTCTCTATCTATTTATCAAAATCAGTTGACATAGTTATATAGTGTGATTGTAATCTGTATACTATTTTCATTACCACTACAGCTGTGCATATATATAGACTACTTCTGCTGTCGTTCATATTTTCTTCTACCACCATTTACCACAATATAATTATTGCTGGCTCGCCAATGTCAGGTTGTATAGGGGCCTGAATTCTATATGGTAGGTTTCTGGGACTTGTTGGTAATAGATTTCAACAATAAACAGAAAGCACACAATTCACTTGTTTTAAAATAATATAACCAAAACAAGTCAAACATATGTACAAAATACGTGTTACTCTATTGGTTATCACAGTTGTATCCAGAGCTTTAAATAATTGTTTCTTTTTCATCAAAGTCCAAACAGCTGGGTTCAATTACTTTAGAACACCTTTTGACAACATAAATTATTCTCTTCTACTCTGTTGTTATAAAACAAGGCTGTGACACTCACTTTAAAATCACTCACGGATAAACTGATACAACATCTGACTTCACTTTTATGAAGTTACTTACTTAGTCGGCTCTATATATATGGCCCAACTGAGACCTAGAACTTTCTTCAGACTATGCAACATTATGATG